CCCACATCTGCACCCCTCATGCCCCGGCCCCCAGAGGGCCGAGGGCTGCCCCCCAAGCCTGACACACGCAGGATGATGCAGGGAGCGCGGCATCGCCAGCCCCCTGCTCCTAGAGAAGGACCCCTGCCCGCTGCACCCCAGCTGGCCAGGCTTGGGCAGCCGGTGCCCGCGGGAGAATGGGCACCGGAGCGCGCCGAGGCATGTGCAGGCACGGGCCTCGCGCTTTGCCATGTGTCTGACGCCACCTCTTGGTGCTTTTTCCACAACAGACCCCTCACAGTGTCGTATGAGAGATTTCAGGCCCCTCTCGGCCTCCCCTGCAAGCACTCCTTTGCTTTTTTTTTTATTTTTGGTTTTGCAAACCACCTCCTCGGTTCATACATTCACAAATTGGCAGGCCGGAAGGGACCGTGGAAGATCATCGGGTTAGAAGAGGGGAGACTAAGGAGGCACAGACCTTGGAGAGCAAGAAACTCAGGTTCTGCCAGATGAACAGTAGCAGCGATTGCAAGCCAAGTGCCCCTGCGCTCTTCCCGGATTCCCTGCCTTCCCCCAGGGGTAAATGGTCGGCAACAGGTCAACTAACCCCAACTGAAGGAGCAGGAGAAAGGCAGATTGCCCAGGTAGCAGGACTTAAAGGCAATATGGCACTCCCCAGCCCCAAACCACTGCTTTGCACAGAACATGGCAGTGAACGCTAAGATATAGACCAGTAGCACGTTCCATGCCAGAAATACCTTGAAGCAAGCAAGCTCCCACACGCAGTCCTATTAATTATAAATGTCATAGCACCTAGGAATTCCTGTCATGGCTCAGGATCTCACTGTACTTGGCCCTCAACAAACACAGACCAAAATGATGGTTCCTTTCCCAAAGAGCTTGTCACATAAGCATAAGACAAGAGGCAGACAAAGAAGAGCACAGCTAAAGAACAGAATGACATTGGTCATCCCATTAGCCAGTGTCATGAGCACACCAGCACTAGCATTTGAGCTGTCTTGAGCACAGGCTGACATCAATTTATGAGAGGATTATAACAGCAGTCAGCCCAAGCCATGCTCGGAGGAGGCCCTAGCATCCTTGTAATGCTTTTCCTTATAATGAATGTTTGCATTCGAGTGTCTGGGAACAGACAGAAGACAACTTGGATCACATACTTTCGGTGGTGTACAAGCAACAGCTCCAGAAGAACAACTAAATGACATCTGTACTCTGTTTATAACTCTTTAATCCATGCAAGCACAACGCATACCAAACATAACTGGAAGGTATCTCTAGTAGGGGTGTGTGAAACAGGCTGCGCTCAATTCAGATTCGCCCCGAATCAGGGACAGTGATTCAATTCATTGATTCAGATCACTGTCCCGATTCGGTTCGACCAAATCCAAATCTGAAGATTCAATGCTGAGTCAGGGAAATCAGTGATTCGGCCATAGACACAGCTTTAAATATTTTTTTCTACATACCTCGAGGTACCAGATGTGGCTCGTGAATGCTGCAATGGTGGAGTGGATGGAGCGTCCCACAGGAGCACGTGGGGGCCCCTAGGTGCTCGGCAGTGGGCTGCCCTGCGCCCTCCCTGGGTCAGCGATCGGCCGCGGAAGAACCCCCCCAGGCCCAGGAGGCACCAGTCACTGAGCCAGGAGGTCCCCCATGCACTCTGCGGTGGACCAGAAATGGGCTGGAAGTGCCCACCACCAAGTGTGCTGGGGACGCTCCATCTGCCCCGCCATCTCAGCATTCACAAGCCACCTGGTACCTCGAGGTGCATAGAAAAAACATTTAAAGCTCTGTCTATGTCCAAATCATCAAATCTCTCCGAACCCTCTGAATCGATTCGTAGAGATTAAAGGGTCTCCTGATTTGATTCTGATTTGGCCGTCAAATCAGGCCGAATCGAATCAGTAACCGAAGCTTTGCATAGCCCTAATCTCTAGCACAGTTTGAACACTACCAGAATCATCATCATTAGGTACTTGTGTTTGGGTAGTACCTAGCAACTCCAGTTAAGGGTGAGGGCCACACTGTTAGGTACAGATGAGAGAGGGAAATCTAACAAAAACAAAAAATCGTACTAAAACATCATGGAATACCCTGTGCTCAGTAGTCAGGGATATCAATAAACGCAACTGTCTAACCGAATGTTTCAAAACATCACTATTTAGCTTCAAACAACGTTTGCGTACTAACTTTATAATATCTCCCAAGCAGCATTATAATTTCGTCATCATGAAGATGGCCAGTCTTCGCATTTCTCTGTGGATTGCTATTTCATTGTCAGAGGCCACATCTACATGAGACACTAACCGCGCAGTAGCCCGATACTACTGTGTAGTAGCATTGCACAGCAACAACCGTGACACGACACTATTGTGCAGTAGTATTAGGCACCTGTGCAGTAGCATCACAAAAAAAGACGTTTGGCAGCACTACTGCACAGTAGTTCAGGTTACCGCACAGTCATTTAGTACTTGCTTATACAAATACTAAATGGCTGCGCGGTAACAACTGCGCAGTCAGCGTCTCATGTAGAGGTGGCCTCTGACAATTAAATGTAGATGCAGCCAGAGTCTTCCAATTCTCTGTAAACCATCACTCACACTATTAGGTATTTGTACCTTTTGGATGAAGATTAATTTTCTGCAATTTGTGCCAAAATAAATCTCTCTGATGCAGACTAGACATTACAAGGTCTGCCTATTTCTGATCTCCACGGGCTGATGTGTGGTCCTCTGACGCAAGCAACTCAGTCCTGCAATGCCAGGAGCTAGTACACAACCTGATGGAGACAGGGAGGACAGGGGATGGTGGAAATGAAAGTAAATCTTGTTTCCCATGAAAATTAAGAGCCAGAAGTGGCTAGGACCAGACCCCAAGTGACTGACGTGGAGAATGATCAGCTCAGGGGAAAACATGGCATGAGGGAGGAAACACTGTTTAGTGGGTGAAACTCTGGACAGAGTCAGGAAGTGCTGAACCACCGCTGGAACAACAGCCCCAGGACGGCGGAGGATTCTCCACAATTTGCTACCTTTAAATGGAAACTGGATGGCTTTCTACAAAGAGATGTCATTGTCTTGAGGCAGAGATTACTTGGTGGAATTCCTTTGGCTAAAGCTATTGGCATATTAGCCCCTTCCGGCCTTAAGACTTGTGACTCTATTCCTGGCTTTGCCGTGGACTTGCTTTCTGACCAGGGATGAGTCCCTTCCGCTCTTGTTGCAGGTTTTCCCTCCCACACTTTTTCTGGTGCATCTGTTTAAATGGTAAGCTCTTCTGGGCAGGAGTTGTTCATTGCATTGGGTGTGTATACACTGCTCAGCACAGCAGGGTCCCTGATCTCATGTGTGGGGGGTGCTGGACTCTATTGAAAAACAAATGCTGTGAGGCTTTGGATGGAAGGGGGCTAATTATTAAGTGATGCTTGTTCAGAGGAGCGAGGAAGGGGAAGGTGTTGGGTTTTTTTCTAATGGCCCAGGGAGGTCCTTTCTGTTGGTGGTTCCTGTTTGATCCATAACCGTATTCATTTTAATCCTCTTTAAAAAAAAGAAAAAAAGTGTTTGCCAAATGGGAAAGACTCTGTAGGGAGGAAATTATTATTTTTCAAGTTTCTCGCTGTGTATTAAGTGATGGGAAATTAAAACAACTCAAAAAAACTATTAAAAAAATAACTCAACAGCATTTTAGCCTCAAAACTTTTAAAACTGCTGACTTTTTTTTTCTTACTAACATATATTATGCAGCTGCTCCATTAGCTGGATTTTGTTTTAAATAAGTGATGATTTATTACTGCTCCAGGGCCAAAGGAAGGGGAAAAAAACATTTTAAGAGAAACACTTTTTAAGTTTCTGGAGGAGCAGGGAAGGCTTCTCAGTCTCCACCAAGTTGTTATCAACACTGCCTGGAGTAGACTTCCATCACCTGCAAGAACTACTCTATCAATACAACCCCTGAACACCTGCACAAACTGAAGTGGGTAGATGCAAGAAGGTTTGCTACACACACCCAGCGAGTTAGGACTTTTCGGTGTGAAACTCTAAGAGCCCCAGGAATTGCTGTCCATTCTCAATGCCATGTAGCAAGTTGTGCTCAGGAGGCTTGGGCACAGATAACAGCAACTTCTGTCCCCTGGGACAGTACATCCAACACAGCTAAAACATAGTGGAATAAGATAGGAGTTGATGGATTGAAGGGAGGAACCAGGAAATGAGTAGAAAGAGAAGGTGCGGTAGGTATTTGGTTCCCCTATCTACTGTCTGATATTCACCTAGCTGTAGTGGCCAGTGGAGATTTCCTTTTCCCACCTCCATAGATGGCTGGCAGGAGACTGGAACTGTTCCTTTTAGCTGCTGATCTTGCTCTGCCTTTGCCACCTTGCCACTGGATTATTGCAGTATGCTTTTTGTGAATCCATTCAGATACCAAAGCCAAGGCACAATGCAGAAGACGGCCAGTTTATGGGGGCGCCCTACAATGAGCACTTGG